AATTTGAAATTCCGTTCCTCATTAATGAAATACCCCTAATTGAGCCGTGTTCGACAATACTGAACTATTTTCCACGAACTCGATACTGAGAAGTTTTATCGTCTTATATGCACAAGCATTTATTTCCAACAATAAAAAAATTTTAAATTTAGGGCACAAAATAATCAAGAGATGTGACAAATGTATATAAGTTTCCAAGTTAAATCAATTTAATTTCGTTGACAAAGTTACCAATTGTGCTTTGGGAGCAGAATTTTAAATATGTTTCAATATTATGTAAATGCTCATCAAAACCCAAATGATATTTTCACTTCATCAAGCATACATTCTGAAATATTTTATTTACAAAATAAATTCCATACAAATTTTAATTAAGCATAGTTATTCATTTATAACCACAAAAAGTAAAATCATAAAAATAATATAAGAAAATATTCTTGATTTTCGTTACATATTACGAGTATTATACAGACATATAAATTGAAAATCGAATATTTAATATTCCTGGAGGCAACATATACATACAATATATATACGTAGTAACAAAATAAGTAACTTATTACAATGGTAAACATGGACATATTCCAAATACAAAGAAATAATGAACAGAAAATAAAGAAAATAATTCAATATCCTTTTTACAACGGAAATCAAATTTTATATGCATGTACCTGTTCATTCGTATGCACTATACACACACAAACATACATATATTTAGGTATATATTTATCTATGTTATAATCTTTAACATCTGTAAATCGAATTTCATTCCTTTCATTTATCTTTTTTAAGCCTTTAAACAATATAAAACCCCTCCAATGCAAATACATATTTTTATATTGGAAATTCATGGAAAAACCAAATACAAAAAAATTCAATTTCCAATTGAGAAAATAAATTTTCTGCATAAGAAATTTTCATTATTTTTTTTCTTTATACCGCATCGTTTATTGCTTTTTATAACCAAATAAATTCAAACAGGTACTATGCACAATATCTCCAAAAAAATCAATGAAAGTTAAATACAAAAAAAAATTACGATTAAACAATAAAATATTTTGAAAATCTATTGTGAATCAGTCGCAACATGCGTATCAAACAAGTTTGATTGCTTGATATCAATTTAATTCAAAGTTTGATTGAATAGACAACCATGATTCGAATGGGCTATATAGCACAGCAATCGATCTCAGATCCTTACGTGATTAATATTTTTGTTTGCATACAGTTGAAAACTTAAGACAGAACTTAGAGATCAAACATTGTTTTATAAAAATTTTATTAAATAAAAATTTAATGGTATATAGTTTTTTTTGTCATACAGAAATCACCAATACTTGCATATTAAAATTTCATTCAATTTTATTCAAATCAAGCGACACAAAATCTAAAAATTTCGAGATAACGTTCCAAAATTAAATGAATATGTAGAAAACCATATAAATCGGATTCCAAACAGAAAAAGAAAAATTTTGTATACTTGCTTGCTTATAATACAATGACTAAGAATCCTTGACTTTAAGAATCTCAAAATAGAAAATTTTGTTATTCAATATGAGTAAATATTTGATGGCATAGCAGATGTTTAAAATTACGAATATTTAGCAACACTTAACACGATTTCAATTTCAATATCTATTCAATCAATAATTTATTCAGCTAAAGATAAAAAATTTGATTCTTATTCTCTTGCTCTATATAAAAATTGCGATGGTGGATTATTTTGGATGTTATATACACAAAGACTGCTTAAGATTTCATATTATTTTTCTTAATTCGAAAAATATACAAAAATAAATTCAAAGAGAAAGTGCAAAAAAAAAAAAAATTAATAAAGAAAAACTTAAAAACTCAGCAAATCCTTTTCAAATATATACTACAGATTTTTTTCTCTCAAATTTTTAGAAAAGCCTATTTTATTATATAAAAGAAGAAAAATCAAAAAATCATAAGCCATTCTATTTTCTTTATGGTTTTCCTTTTCGATTATCTTCCTAGAACTTTATTATTTTTTCTCTTTCTTAACTCTTCTTGATTTATTTTGTAAATATTTAAAAGAACTTCTATTTAATCAAAAAATTGTTTCCATTTATGTAAGACAAATATTCTTCAATATATATACGCGATCTTGTAGAGTATAGATATTTTGTGTTCAAGGTTTAGTATTCATTACATAATATTCTCTTTTTGAGAAATTTTGTCCCATCACCAAGTCACAAATTTAACATTGTTTTATACAATCTATGTAGACAGTCAATCGTTGTCCGACAGCCGATAGGAACCACAATAACTCATCCAAAGAAAATAATTTAAAAGCACATTCAAGGAAAATAATCAAGAGCTGTAAAGTCGTATGATCTCGACTAGAAATTTGCAAGTCCAAGATATTGAATTAATTACTCACTCACGCATTCTTAATTAATATTTGTTATATATAAATATTTTTAAAACTGTTGCTCGGGCGCCAGTTTCCCTATTATAAAATGACAAATCAAATTTAATGTCAATTTGATGTTGGCAAAGTGGAATGTCAAATATGAAAACACGAAAAACTGAACGCAGCCAAAAATTATTCGTTAAAATATGTATATAAGTACATTTAACAGACATAGACGTCTGTATGTAGCAGTTTTATAAGTTAATAATTTAAGAGATAATAAAGATAATATTTTTTGTTACATAAGTATATTGGATATACTGTTATACTCTTGAAAGAATGAAAAATTTCATTTCATTTCGTTCAACGTTATTATAATAAGTTGGGTGTTAGTTTTTTATAAGAATATTGTATGTATTAAAAATTATGTTTATTTAATCTATATGTACATGTATTAAAAATTATGTTTATTTAATCATCATGTGATCACAACTATACAAAATAAATTTAATCCATTCTGACAAATACATACATTGGTATATAAATTATATTATATTGTGATGTATATTAGTTTTGATGAAACATACACACATATTAAAAATGTGTATGAACAATATTGAAAATGATTAATTTTGTAAAATTTGAATTAATCCCACAAAGGATTAGTTTAGTAATTAATAAAGAATTTTTTTTTTTTTTTTTGAATTTTAAGCATTTTCAGTAAAATGTTATAAAATTCAGTATAACTTTATATGAAAATAAAGTTATAAATCTTGACAGTGGTAAAAATTGAGTATTTCCTTTAAATAAACATACAGATTTAAAATTGAATGATAAATGAATGTGAGAAAATAAATAATTTAAAAGATGTAGAAAGAACGCACAGAATTAAATACAAATTTCAAAACCCATTAACATAATGAACATAATGTTCGAAATTGAATCTCAAACCTGAAGCCACAGTAGCGTCCCAACTAAGAACAACCAAATGAAAGCAAAAGGGAAGAGTACTAGCTAACTTTTCTCGAAAGGCTTCGTCATTTTTTTTTAAACTCTAATAACTGGGATTTAGATTACTGCACCCGAATAATAACAGGATGACAGGTGTGATTCCGATTAATAGTGAGTTCATTAAATATATTATATAAAGTTTCAATTGCATCACTGTTATACTTTAAATTTTATTGATATCTAAAGTGAAGTTAAGATTTATAGAATTTCGGTGTGAAAAATTGAAAGCTTGAGTCTTAATTTGTTAAACTTTTGAAAGTGCTAGTAATATGACTCGTCTTGGCAACATTTTACATTTTCGAAAATGTTTCTAGTGAGATAGTGTTTTACTAAGACTGACTCTGCCTTTAAATGTATAATACGCGTAATGATATTTGGATAATTATGCAATTTTTTAAATAGCCCCCATAACTATGCAATTTTTTATAATTTTTTTTTTCTATAATTTAATTAATTTGTATTGGTCGTCCTTTAATATTAAATTTTTTTTTATCTAAATTATTTTTCAAAAGCAATTATATAGTTTGATCCTCCAAGTAATTTAACTTGATTTAAAAGACATTATTGATTATACGCGCAAATCTGATTTTCTCATCGATTTGTAATGGCGTCATATAAAATGAGCAACAAAGATAATAAAAATTTGAAAAAGAAAAAAAAAATAGAATGTTCTTTTGAAAAGCGTTCATTTTTTGCAATATCATAAAATTTTTTTTTTTATTAAAAAGGATATCTCTGCCATTTTAACGCAAAAATGGTAAAAAAAAAATGAACACCAAACACATTCAAAGAACATTATTTTTATTACTGCTGCCACCATATTTGTTTTTTTTTATTCTTTTATGTTGCGAAAGTAAGTGAACATTTTATGACATAACAGTTTTTTTTTTTTTCGTTTTGTAATGTGGCACAATATCAAAACAAGGATATTAATTTTCAAGTCATTTTAATATTTATTTTTTCTGGTTTGACATTTCCTTTTTTGATTTCTATTGTTATATGACAATGTAACAGTAAAAAAAAATTTTTTATCAAAGTTTTTTTTTCTTTTTTTTCCAAGTTGTTAAAATTAATGCGTAAATACATGGAAAATTTTCAATATGTTGGCAATCAATATGTTTTTTAAGTGTTTGAATAATTGAAAAAGTCGTCTTGTCCAATTTAAAATTTTTAATAATTTTTTGTTATATCGGCTTGAATATAGGGTGTTTTAAAATATTTATACCTGTATTAGCAATCCGTTGTCCCAACTATAAGATAAGACAATAGGAATTAAAGTTCTTACTTAAATAACATACTGGCATAAGGGTACTACTTTGAAAAAAACATACTTCGTTTTCGTCAAACTCGCAATTCATTACTAAATTTGAACTGCATTTTCAAAAATTCGCTTTGTTATCTCAATAATGTTTTATGAATATAAAGAAAAATCCAATTCTTTTCTCGTTTTCCTCAATTTCCTTGAAAGAATGATCAAATTAAAGTTAACACATAGTGTCTAAGACATAAACTCATATTAAAAATTCTATATTTTCCAATTAAGTCAAGCCTCTTTACTAATTTTATACTCGTAGTAATTAAATTTTTTTCTTTTTTTCTGAAATTTTTGCAGGTGCTTGAAGAACGAGTCTATCACATAGAATCTACACCAGAGATACCAGAACCATATTATAAACCAACTGGACATGAATTAAGACCACGTCCAGTCGGTGAAGAAAACGGAATTGTTGTGTTCAATTATAATCCAGTTAGTGCTGTTCATTATGTAAGTTTTATAAAATATTTAACTAACAATTTTGTTTACCAACAAAAAAAAAACTCGTATAAATTTTAAGCATAATATCGTATAATATAATAACTCCGATATATATAATCGTATTATAATAAATCTTAAATTTCAAAATATTTTAATGCCCAAAAAAGATGAAAGGGTATATTTTTAATAACAATAACGTGACTTCACTTAAAAATTTTTGCTATATAGTTTTGTTAACAAAAATAGTAAATTAAAGTCAATTGTTTCATCAAATATCTATATACACAATCGTATATACTTATGTATATTATGTACTACAAAATTTACTCTGCATGCACACCATATTGAAATGCTTCTCAAACACATTTTAATTATGTTTATTTACGTTTATAGAGTGATGCTTTTTCAAAGTACATGCCAGATGAATAAAGTTTACGTACATAATTTCTTTTATTTTTTTTTTTAATTAGTTACACAAGTGTATATGTGCTCTACTTTACAAGTGTATATATGTGTAAACGCTCTTATATAATAATTTCATAGCATATTTTCTTTTTTTTTTGTTTTTGCTCTTTTAATATTTAAAGTTGATGAAAGACATAATAATGTCATTTTAAGCACTTAAATATTTGTATATCACAATATATACATATAGTAATTTAAATGAGTTCTAATATTAATATTAGTTTTAACACTATATAGACGCACTCTTATAATGTATACGCACAAAATTACAATATGTTTATAAGGATATGTAATGTATTTATAATAGAAATTTTAAAAATTGACATAATAAGGTGTTTCAATTACAAAAAGGGTCATACAAACAAAAATTATTATAGTATAGTGAACTATGATTTATTCAGAAAAGCAAAATTTTACAAAATTGTGTCTACAAAAAATATGACGGAATTTAATTATTTTTACTCACCCTATACAAATTTTTTAAAATTTTGAAAGATTTTTAATAACACTTCCATTGTGAAACGTTCTCTTTTAATAGAAGATGAGAATTTAAAAATTAAAATTTGTGAATTATTATGGTAGCGTTCAGTACCACAAGAACTGTAGGTTTAATATTTCTTCAATTAAATCAAATTAAAATTGTATGGAAACGGTTCGAACCATTGTCTCGAAATTATAATTTTTAGGCTTTAATTTAATGTTTACTACTAAATATCACTTGTGAATACTTATTAAATTCAACTGGATAAATTTCTGCTAAATGCTAGTTGCTATGAGACTGACGGATAATAATGTTAACAATTACCAGCCAGCAACTTTTAATAAATTGAATAATTTTAAAAAAAAGCTCTATGTTCCGAATTGAAAAATATTTCCGCATTTTCTTGGAAAATTTTAATATAAATTATTAACAATAGTCATAACAAACGAACTATAATATTCAATATTAAAAATTTCTCTATAAATCCAAAAATAGAATTTTATAGAAATCTTTTGAATTCATGGTAACATAATTTTTCTCTGCTTTTCAGAAGACTTAAAAAAATAATTATTAATAATTCATGAAAATTCATATGGAAAACTCATTAAATTTAATTTCCACTTTATTATTTAGAGCAAAATAAATAAAAATTTTTTAATATTTAAACAATAATTTATTTCAAGTATTAAAAAATTACAGCCATATGGTTTTGTGTTAATTATAAATTTTTCTATTGGATTCTGTTTGAAAAAAAAAATGGAGAAAAATAAACCTTTTCTGAAAAATTATTTGAAAAGCATTAATTTTTGAAAAATTTATTTTCAAAAATATGCACGAAAAAAAAATTTATCATTGTTTTCACAAAATGCGTTCCCAGAACTTTCTATACTTTTTGAAATTTGAATTCTATACTTTTGAAATAATGATATTTTAATAGAATTCCTTGGTGTATTGTGGTAGTGCACTAAAAAGTTTGTAATTATTAAATGGAAATTTATAAAAAGTGATTAATTATTAATTATTGTCTACTGGATAACAATTATTTGCTATTATTCATTATTATTTGCTATCTATCTATTGGTCATTCTAAGGTATATTTTAAATAAATCAAATTGTTTTTGAATGTCGTGATCGCATCTAATTAAAATTTTCAGAAATTTGAAATAATTCTGATAAAAAATTTAATTTCTATCTTATTACACCAGGAAAATTAAAATTAAATGGAATAAAAACTGGAATTAAATAAGACAAATTTTTGAAGAAATGTAAAAATTTTAACCTTTGAAATTTATTTTCTGATATTTTTCCTATTTAACAATAAGGCAATTTGTCAGTGCCATACCACAGCAACGCTGTAACTTTGTTGTGTATTATTTCCATTCCGTTTATTATATTTAATGAGCATAATTTTATTTCTCAAAATATTTTCTACATCTTATCACATTTTAAAATTTGTTTCGCTCTCATAGCATATATAAAATGAGAGTTCCTGTTTCTATATATGTAATAACAAAAAAAAAATTGAGATGAAGGAATCTGTTATAAATCCAAAATTTCTATAACAGTCTTATCAAAAATTGTGTACGAGTAGGTGTATGAGTCTAATATTTTTCCCATATAATATTTTAGTAATATGAAGAAATTTTAATTTTTTTATTAAACGCAATGTGAAAACGAAGATGAAATGGACAATTTTCATAATTTCAAAAAAATTTTTATAAATTTTCATTTAAAAAAATTTAATATTTTTGCAAATCTTTTTAAAATTGCGAATTTTATTCCGCAATAATTCTAAAGCAATATGAAATTTTTTTTTACTTAAATCTCAATTCAAAACTAATTTTCTTATTTATTTTATTGCTACTGAGTTAAAAAAGAAATTTTTAAATTTAGTTCCATAACTAATTATGTGGGTTGAATTCATATGACACAGAATGCAAAAGTTTTGTAGAATAGAGCATTCAAATAAATTGACACTAAGAGTAAAAATGAAATTCTTGAGAAAATTAATTTTTTTTTTGTCATAATTTTAAGGTTATAATGTGATCCTTGTAAATTTGTTTTTACATATATGACATGCTATATTCCATTTAAAAATCAAATTCTTACACACATAGAATATTTAGTTATATATTAAAATATTAAATGCATATTACATTGAGTAAGAGAAAACAAGCAATTTGTTTATATGAAAAGTACAACATAACAGGAAAGAAATTCTTTTTACAAAGCACAAGCTGAATAATCAAAAATATGCTAAAATTACAACCAAGTATGATTTGTCAAATCAAAATCATGTGACGTTTCAGACTATTAAGAGAGGCAAAAACTATCAATTCAGCAGAATTACTGTACAAATAAAATCACTCATTTAAAACAACTCACATATGACATAAGAAATGAAGATTACGTGCTACACGTTAAAAATTTTTTAATTTCATTTCAAGCGGTACAAAATTGGTTTATCACACTAGTGTAATAAATTTCTAAGAGCCTTTTTTAATGTTTTATTTATAACTTATATTCATTGGACTAGAATGCACTCCAGCTACTGTATTTTCTAAAAATATTTTACCTTAAAAGGCAGAATCCCTAATAAAATTATGTGGTACCCAAAATAAATTTCAAAAGAATTATTATAAGCGCATGTTCTTTTTACATCATTCAAATTTTAATTAAATACCATTCCTATTACTCTCATTCCTAAAAATTAAAAAATAAAATTACAATTGTTTAATTATTTTTGATTTTTTAATTAATTTATTATATAATAATAATACGAGTATCACAAGTATTCTCTGCAATCAATAATTCAATAATTTCAATTTCATTGCCAACATTTCTTCTTAATATACCAAACTTTTTAAAGCATCACATATTAAACAAAATAAAGAACACTTTTAATTAAACATAGCTTAAAAATCTATTTTATAATTTTTAATTAAATTTTATTGACAAGCATGTGACACATCCATTCTTAACAATATTGATTTTTTTTCCACAAGCATTTGAAATAAGAACAAAAAACATATATACATACATAAATAAAATTTTGAGCATTTATTGAAGCCAAAAATTCATTTTTGAAAAATGTTCCAAAACAAAAAACAGAATTAAATGTCACACATAATTGTGGATGACTCAATTTTATTTACAATCAATTAATTTTCAAGAATGGGAATAAACAATAAGTTCACAATTTTTGCCACAGTAATGTCAGGTATTGAATATAAATGTCAAATTTAACACAAAGATACGCACAATGGATAAATAAATTATCTCTTAAATTGGAACGAATGTTCTCATTAAAATGCACTAATTATCTGATTTGGTGCGCCTCCGCGCATTAGTGGTCTACTTACAAAAATGATATTTCGAGTAAATTACGATTAAAATGTTAAATATTTTTAAGAAAATTTTTAAAAGGCAAAAGCAAACTTATGTTAAAATAGAGTTAAACGTATAAACTAAATATTTTGAAAATATAGAACAATTCTTTAGGCCATTACAGCTCTATTGAACATAATAACTAATTTTTGCAAAAATATTGTATAGGCCACTAATGCGCTGAGCGTCTCATTTGTGTTACTCTTTTTTTATTCTTTTTAATACTCAACTAATACTTTATGCTCTTGATATACTCTCACACAGTCACATCTCTCTCATTATAATATTAATAACAATTAACTCTCATTATTATTATCGTAAATTTTTTAATACTCGTATGTGTAGTTAATTTGAATACTAGAGTTTCACTTAGAGTTCCGAATAGCTGCGAAAACATTCCATTTATACTTCTAATTTCTAATATAGAGTAATGTTTTTTTTTTCCTTTTTGCATAAAAGATTTATAAATCTCGATATTAAATGTTCCTATTATTTGGCATATTCTATATAACAAATAGATTATAACCGTAATTATTGCGGTACTTTCAAAAGCATCTATAATTAAACTACAATAAAATAAAACATGCAAAAAACAAACATTGAAAACAATCAACAGGTGGAAATGAAATCTATCTAAAAAAAAAATTTTTTTTTTTCTCAGTTTTAATATATTAGT